TCATTTCGTATGTCAGGTGAACTGCACTTCTTTGTCCTTTGACTTGTGTGACTACCAAATGTTATCTCAGATTGGTAGCTGCTTCTTCTGAATTATAAAATGCCTTCAGGGCAAGAAAATAGGACCTAACCCCCTGGTTATTGATTTCTCTCAGGTTTTGGCCTGATAACTCTTCATTGTTTGCTTATATCATTGATGATTTCTTAGCAGACATTTTTAATATTTCATCCAGTTTTTTTATATATCCTCAGGAGGGAGTTGGCTGAAGTTACCTAATTTATTATTCTTGTAAGTAGAAGCTCTCAGTTCTGTTAATATTGTAATGTATGCAAACATAAGCAGAGCTCTCACTTTTCCACATATGTTGTTGTTGATGGTCATGTGTCACATATTGAATCCAAAGTGTTCTAAGGAAAAGGGGGAAGTTTCACTCATAAGGACTGATAATTTCAGAGTATTTGAAAAATATTGTAATTGATAGTGGGCCTGATAATAAAGTTGTATTGAGTCCATTGTACCATTGTAGAGACTTGGCTTTAAGGAAGGTAATTTTCTCTGTGTCAGTTCTGATTGTTGGAGTACTTTGAGTAGAGGGATGACATGATTCTTCATCAATTATGAGAACTGCAAATTTCTTCTTCAGGTTGGTAATTTGCCTTTTTACTGAAAATTGTGTATTTTTCATATTTAAAAGTTTTTAATATTATCTCAAAGATAGAATAATTTATATTATATTAAATCACCTCTTGTTTTTTGTTTAGAAAATCTTTCCCTATCCCAGTGTTTAAAACATGTTGAACTACATTTCCTACTAAGATTTAGTTTTCTTCTTTGAGTGTTAGAAAATCAGGATTAGATTTATTATAATTCTTAGTCATAACATTCATAACTGGTTTACACATAAGCCCATTTTGGTTATTTATGTTACTAGTTCTTTTTAATAATGTTGTAAGCACCAATGTGTGAACTCACTGCCAAGGTGAAACGTAGGACAATAATCTATATCTAACCGTATAATCTTCCCCATATTTCAACCTATGGCTAGTTTTTTAAAATATCACTACCATTCTTTCTTTCTCCTATGTTTTATTACATCTATATTCACATCTAAAATGTGCATATTACTTTAGACGTGTTTAACTTTATAGAAGGAACACCATACCAATGTAATCTTTGGGGTTTTATTCAGTTTATATTATGTTAGTAAGATGCTTTCATATTTTTGAGTGTTGCTGTAATTAATTGGTTGTTCTTGTTAGTGATATTCATTTCCCTCAGTTCCACTCTTCTTTTGGTGTGATTGGGGTTATTTCTATATTTTGCAATTGGAAATAGTTTTGTTATTAACATGCTTGTATATGGCTCCTGGTGGACACATGAAATAGTGTCTCTGTGTGCATGTTTGTGTGCATTTGTGCTTGTACATATGTGTGCTTAATAGTGTCAAGTATGTGAATATTCATTTTTAGGCCATTGATCATTTTTTCCAAGTCTTCGAACCATTTTGCAAGCCTATCAGGAATGTGTAAGAGACTTCATATATATACACACACACACACACACATACACACACACACATTCTTCTCATATATACATATATATACACACATTCTTCATATATATACACACATATACATATATACACATTCTTTCCAACAACTGATATGGTTATATGTTTTAATCTTTGCAATAAAATCAATGTAAAATGGAACCTTCTTGTGGTTTTGATTTCTATGCCCTTTAGCTCTACAGATGTGGAGCTTCACCATGTTTACTAGCCACACATCTTTTCTCTTTCCGTGACATACTCATTCGTGTGTTTTGCCTATTTACTTTTTTTACTTAACCATTTTGTGTGGTTTTTGATATTTAATTTTAGGAATGTGTAATATATTATTTGCAATAATTCTTCATCAGTTGTGGGAACTGCAATTTCTTCTTTCAGTTTATAATTTGCCTTATTACTGAATAATACATATCTTCTGATGCTTAAAAGTTTTTAATATTATTATAGTCAAATATTGAATGTTTTCTATTACATTAAAGCACTTATTGTTTTTTGTTTAGAAACTCCCTATTACATTGCTTAAAATATGTTGAACTACATTTCCTACCAATAATTTAAAATTTTTGTTTTTGTCATTTATGTCTCTAATTCATTTAGAATTTTTTATAGAGTAAGATACATGTATAAAGTTTTTACCTTATTCCATATGGATATAACTATTTTACTAGTGCCGGTTATTGAACAAACCCTTCCCTCTCCTCACTGATCTGGCATGTGACCACTGTGAGTAATGTACTTTCTATTTTAAAGACAAATTTTATATATTAATCTTGTAATTAATTTTGTATGTTAATCATATCTAATCACATAAATTTTATTTTTTTCTGTAGTAATATTAGGGATTTCCATGTAAATAATTATATACATAATTAATAGTATAATTATTTATATTTGTGTAATTATAATTATTTGCATTAAACCAATTTATGTTTATTATCTTTATAATAAAATAAATTTAAATCAAGATTTATAAATCTGTATAAATATTTATCAATTTTTCTATTACTGCATTAATACTACACTTTTAATTACTAAATCTTTATAACTAGTTCTATCTATCGCTAGAGCAAGTCTTTTAACCTTTTATTTTTTTTTTATAGTAGACAAGTTTTACCTGGCCCTTTATATTTTATATAAATTTTTAAATTATTTTATCATGTATATTATTTTATTATGAAAAACTGCAGAAATTTAATGTGAATCTAATTGAAACTTTAGATGCGGCATTGACTGCTTTATGCTACAAACTTTTTCCAACTTTTACTATACTGGGGTTACTCATTTATTTAGTTCTCATTTAGTACCCCTTAATAATACGGCATAGTTTCCCAGGTAGAGAGCTTACTAACTTTTATTTCTAGGTACTTGGTATTTTCTGATATTAGTTAAAGTAATATCTTCCAGTTGGGTTTACTAGTTGTTTGCTCTTAGTACAGGAAAAACACAATTAAATTTTGTATATTAGTCTTATATCTAACCACATAAATTTTATTTTTTTCTGTAGTACTATTAGGGGTTTCCATGTAAATAATTATATTTATATTATTTATATTTGTATAAGTATACTTATAATTATTTACATTAAAACAATTTATTTTTATTTTATCTTTGTAATAAAATAAAATAAATATTAATCCAGATTTATAAATAAAATAATTATTTATAATAAAATAAACATAAATTGTACACATAAGAATTGGAAAGAAGGAAATAAACTATTTGTCTGAAATAATATAATTATTGCTGAGACATCAAATACAATGGTGAAAAAGAGCAGTGAGGATATCTCTACTTCTCTTTTTTAAAAGCACCTTTAATATTTTTTCATTAAAGATATCTTTTTTATTTTAAAGATATTTGTTGGGTTAAAAATATTATCTTCTATTTCTAATATACCACGAATTGTATTTCTTAACTCTGAAGAAATATTTCTGGCAATTTGTTTCTGCATCTGAGGTGATTATATAATTGTTGTTTTTTAATTTGTTAATGTGGTGATCTCCCTGATATTTTTCATAACATAATCATTATGTCTTTTTTAGTATTGGTTAGGAACTATTTCCTATTTTTACTTTAAAAGGCTTTGTATAAAAATAAGATTATGTGTTGCTTTAAAGTATGGTAGAAGTTAAATGTGGAAACCATGTAGAACTAGTGGTTTTCTACATTTTATTTGATGGGAGTGTGTGTATGTTTGGGTGTGTAGGTTTGTGTGTGTGTGTGTGTGTGTGTGTGTGCATGTGTTTGTTGTGTTTTGAGAGATTTTAAGCCACAGTTTCAATTTCTTTAACAGCTATAGAGTTATTTAGGCTTTTTATTTCTTCTAGGGTTAGTTCTGGTAAGATATACTTTCAAGTAATTTGTTCATTTTGTCTAAGTTTTCAGAGCTGTTGACATTTAGTTATTTGCTGTCTACTTTTGTTATTTTTTAGATCTACTTTGACTATATGTATTATATCTTCTTTATTCAATATTTGCATCATTTTTGTCTTTTATTTTTTCTCCATTAACTTTACAAAACTTTTGCCTATTATGCTAGGTTATTTTTCAAAGAACTGACTTTTGATGTGGTTTATCTTCTCTATTTTATCTTTTTGTTCCTTTTTCATTGTTTCTTATTCTTGTTTTTATCATTTCTTTTATTCTTATTTCCTTGATCCTATTCTAATATGTCTCCAAAACTAAATTATTCCTAAAGCATTGCTGTTGTTGTATCCCAAAGCATATATATTTAATATTTTCAACATATTTCTAAGAATAATGATAAAGAATTGTTGCAATTTGTTCTAAGCCCATAAAATTTTTAGCAGTCTATTTTTTTTTAATTCCTAAATCTAAAAACTATTTTTATTTGTGTTTTGGTTAACTTCTAAGTTCATTGTATTGTGATCAAAGATCATTATATATAATAACTATGTTTTTGTAATGTGTTGAGGCTTTCATTTTCTGTCAAGTAAAGTATCATTTTGATAAATATTTGTGTGTTCTTTATAAAAATTAGTTCCTCTAAATGTTATTTGCAGAATTTATAAATATTAAACATGTGTGTTCAAAATCCATGATGATTGTTTTCTGCTTGCTCTATCAATAGTTTAAAAAGATATGTCAAAATCTCTCATGACAGTGGCAGATTCATCAATTTCTCTTTCTAGTTTTTTTCATATTTGCTTCCTATATTTAAAAGCCATTTTATTAAATGTATAGTTGTTTAAAATGTTATGCCTGTTTCAGTAATTCAATTTTTTAAACTAAATAGTGAACCTCTCCATCCTTAGTAATTACATTTTTTAAAAAAATAGCATTAACTTGATTTGTATTTTTTCATATCACTATGAGGGATTCTACTAAATGCACCAAATAAGTTATAAAAACCTCTAAACGCAGAATCAGTCATCTTTTTTACCTCATTGCTGCCACGTTCTTTTTTGTTGAGGAGCCCTCCTTCTTTGGAACTTGAAACCATATTTAAATGCTACTTGGCCTACACAACATTCATTTCTGGATCTGCAATGAAGTGGGAGGATCTGAGGCGAGTTGCGGTAAGATCTAGTTGTTTTAGTTCCTTGTAGTTTTCCTAAGTTGCAACAATTAAAATTACAAGATATATTGCTTTTGGAAAAGATATTATTTCAGCTTCTTTAACTGGAGGAAAATATAACTTCCTCAGCTTTAGAAACAATTGTAAAGGAAGTGTAGTAATTGACCTCCAAATCTGATTTCACAAATGTCAAGCAGACCTCACTGTTTGCCAACACTTATATTTAAATTATTTATTTCACAAAATTCTCTCTCTAAATCAGTTTTATGTTATCAGCCTAAGAGGTCTGTAAAAGGTATGGATAGCAAGGTGTGTTTGATCTTACCACACAAATAGAATTCTTACCAGAAGGCAGATCTCTGAGTCTGTCAACTTTAATCAACTTCTCCTCCTAAATGCATGAATATCCTTTCCAATAGGAAAAACATAAAGAAAAATAGTAGAAATCTCATTAAAGTTGTGACTAAAAATAATGAGCAACAGCCAACCCTCTAGACAGGTTTGGCTTAAGATCAAAGGCAGCTTCCTGTCATGTTCTTAGTCTTGGAGAATCAACAAACAGAAAAGTTTCTGTTTAAAGCCAAGATCTATAGAGTAAACATGAAGAATTGACAGACCCAGAAAAATCTTTCTCTTTCCTGCAATTTAGTACTGTAAGAGCCACTTCAGTAATTTTCTAGAACATTGAAATTCACACGCCACCATTATTGAATAACTGTTTACTTTGAGCCAAGTGGACTCCCAGTTCCTCTGTTCTTTACTGTCCTGAAAGACAAATAAATACACAGGCAGTTGCTTATAAAGGACTTACGGCTTATCACTAGGCATCAAACAATGATGATGGATGGTAGGAAAAATATAACTTTGTATTTTACCCACTTGAAAGCAATCTTTTACCTATGTCAGAGACCCTGTGTCCTGGACCATCAACTGCAACCCTTGCCTTTTGCGGCATTTGCAGGACAGCAATCCTGATGTAAAGACCTCCTCATTACAACTCATTCCCAAGTGTGTCCTCTTTTTTGTTAGCAATTTTATTACAAAATTCTAAGAAAACCCAAAAGGGGAAGACCAGAGCATTTCCCACATAATTAACACCATGGCTCCTGTCCAATCTTGAAGGGTAGGTGGAATCTGCAGAGGCATGCCTGATTATAGCCAACCCTTTGTGCAGTGATTCCCATGCTGAAGATATTTCCAACATTATGAGGTAAGAATCTGGTATTGTATTTTGTATGCTGTAATGATTATTTTTTTCTATCTCTCTTAAAGTAATGCCTGGTACATAAGCATAAACAGGAGAAAATGCCATCTATCATATCACTAGATTCATCGTATTCCAAGGTTCTGCCTACTTTTTGCCCCCTCCCCAAGACTGTGCAGACAGTTGCAAAAGAAAATGAAAATAGAGCATCCTGAGTGTGAATGTGCTTCTCCATATAATTCCTTGAAGTTTCATATGTATAGTAGCCATCTGAATTTAAGAAGCAAGCATACAAATAACTGATTATTGTTCAGATAGCACCATTATAACTAATATCCTCTCCTCAAAAATAAAGATGCAATTTTATCCCTGTTAGTACACTTTATTTATTGGGATTTTTCTCTAGTAGCTATGGTGAAAGATTATGTGTGGTCCGATATGATGTACTTTTTGACCATCAGTAAGTATTTTCCTTCTTTTTTTTTTTTCTTTTCTGTCTTTTTTTTTTTTTTTTTTTTTTCTGGGAGACAAAGTCTCGCTCTTTGTTGCCCAGTTGCCCATGCTGGAGGGCAGTGGTGTGATCTTGGCTCACTGCAACTTCCGCCTCCCAGGTGCAAGCAGTTCTCCTGCCTCAGTCTCCCAAGTAGCTGGGATTACAGGCATGTGCCATCACACCAGGCTAATTCTGTATTTTTAGTAGAGATGGGGTTTTACCATGTTGGTCAGGCTGGTCTCGAACTCCTGAGCTCAGGTGATCCACCCACCTCAACCTCCCAAAGTGCTCGGATTACAGGCTGAGTCACCACGCCTGGCCTAACCATTGGTGAGTATTTTCAAGATGTTATCACATTAAACTGTGAACTCTGAGCAAGAATGTAACTTGTGATAACAAAGTTCTAACTGTGATTATGATGGCAATGGCATTTTGGCTAATCCAAATGAACTTCCAATCTCCAGAGTAAAATAAATACACATAGCTGAAGGTGACATTATATATAGCAAGAAACAGCTGAAAATGTGTACCATGCATAATACAGTAAATATGAGGTAGATCTTAGTTTCTTAATTTGTAAAATGAGGAAGTTGAATTAGACAGTCTATGAGCTATTTCAAGCTATAGACAACTATCAAATTTCTATTTTTACCTGTAATAATTAGGTTTGGGTTTGAAGGCTAAAACATGAAACTGTTGATTTCCTCCTCAAGAATTGGTCTCAGAAGAACACAGTCTTCTAATACCAAGAGATAATCATTCCATAGATTTGGTTGGGAAAGTCATGAAAACAATGACGCTTTTCTGTGTAGGCTACTAAAAACATTTTTCGTAAACAACATAACAGTGAACTTTATTGTATGCCAAGTTTTTCTATGCTTACCTACATATCAGTTTAACTCTGAATTAAATTATATTACAAAGCCCTTTGGCTATGACACATGACTAATGAGAGTGTTTGGGGTTTATATAGGGTGCTCTCTATCAAGAACTATGACTCTACCACCAGAATCATCATACAGATACTGCAATCCCATAACAAGGTATACTAACATTCCAGCGTATTCAGTCTCCTCCTTTTATCTGTATAGCTAGACTAACTTTTTTATTTTCTAATGGATGTGTAAATAAAAAGTTTTTGCTAATCACAGGTAAAATTTGGAGTTTCATTAAGATGGATAATCACTCAACAGTGTAAATTGGGGGCAGAATTAGAGGTTTAAGCCATTTGACCTAATTTTGCAACTCTGTTTTTGTTTCAAAGAATGAGAGCCATTGACCACTAACCACCTTCAAATGCTGAATTTGTTCTTATCATTTTCATTGACCTGGGCACCACTTTTATGTGCAAAAATAAAGAATATATGATTGCAAGAAAATTTTAAAAAGAAAGACATCCATCCACAAGAGCTTTCTTGAGGTGTGTTTATTCCTAATACTTGACCTGCTTTGTACTATGGAACAGGTTTATCTGCCAAAGATTCCCAGCTGGGACTGGGATGCCGGAGACAACATCATTTGCTTTGCTGAATTAAAGCTTGGATTTATCGCCCAAGGCTGTTTGGTGCCAGGCTTGTGTACCTTCCTAACATCTCTATTTGTGGAGCAAAACAGAAAGGTAACCTTGTAAATTAATGTCAATTCTTGGCTCTGTCCCCATGTCCTACATGTTAAGATCAGAAATAGAAAAAAAAATTTGAGAAAAGCATCAAGGCCCCAAGAAATGAGATTTGACTTCTGCTTGAGCTGGGAAAGGATTAGAAGATCTGGATTTAAAAGTCCCAGGTACCACACTGACCTTGAAGAAATCATTTATTTTATTCCTGCCTAAGAATATTTATCTACAAAATAGAAAAATTATAACTCTGCTTCCTACCTACAGTCCAGTATGTTTTAAATCAAAGTACATTCATCAAGGTAGAAGCATTGAGTTATTGAAAGTGAAAATATAAATAAAGGTTATATTATTAATGAAAGATTCATATATTTCAATATAAATTAAATCCAAAATAATTGGTATAATAATAATTATATTCATCAAATAGAAATAATGATCAAATAGTAATTCAAATCTAATTTTTCCAGGTTGTTTTAGGAAGAATTCCATGCAGGAATAATAACAGTAACCACATAATAAGTGCCTACTGTCTTGTGTTTCCCCTCAATAATATGTTAAGTTAGTAACCCAGCAGTGAGTTGGTGAAGCTAACTAACTTGATCATACAGTAGGTTAGTGAGCCACGGAGCTAGGACTGTCTGGTGCACAGTGTTGTTACCATAGTGCTCTATGTCTCTGGTGTTATTTCCACACAATGTCTCACATCAAGATTTTTGATATTTTTGTCTGAGACAAAGTAAGGGGCTAAAAGTGACTCTTGGGATAAATTTTTGTAGCACAAAAGGTGGTCTTCCAAATATCATTTCCATGAAATGCTCCAGCCAAGGCGTGCTAGCCCTTGGCTGGACCTGGTCTTCCTTTTCTAAAGCTCTTGCAGAGAATGACCTTACTGTCTGTTTAATTCTGAGTCCATGCTTGCCTTTCATACACTTGACTTCCCTCCTGACCTCTCTTTGCTTGCTCTTTCCTCTGTTCTCTTTTTCCTGTGTTCAGTACAAATGTTTGCATCTTTTTCTGTTTCTTCCCTGGTGCTATTTAAGGAAAAGCAAAAGAAGTAAGAGGTGCTCTGGCCAGCTATATGCTAACTGCAACAAATGGAAAGCTTCTGTAATTCCTTCTGTGAATGTAAAGAGATATAATATACAGATGTAAATAAATAGCAGTCAGGGTGGAGGGAATGAACCTTCATGCAGCTACAACACACAAGCTTTTACTTTCATGTAGTGTTCACTGTATGCAGCCTAGAAAATGGTTTATAAGGACATTGTCTTTGTGTTGTATATTTAGAAAGTAGCAGAGAACTTCAATATTTCTTGTGATTATTGCGCTTTCAGTCTCCATGGCTGGAGAAAGTAAATGGAAATAAATGGAATGTGAACTCTATATGAAGACTTATCCTCCTTCATGAAACTATAGAAGATAGAGATATAAAAACATACTATTGTATTTTTTTTATTTAAAGAGTTGTGGCCAGGTATGGTGGCTCATGCCTGTAATCCCAACACTTTGTGAGGCTGAGGCTGGCGGATCACTTGAGCTCAGGAGTTTGAGACCGACCTTGTCAACATACTGAAACCCCGTATCTCCTAAAAATATTAAAAAAAAAAAAAAAAAAAGTTAGCCAGGCATGGTGGCATGAGCCTGTAGACCCAGCAACTGGGGAGGCTGAGGCAGGGGAGTTGCTTGAACCCAGGAGGTGGAGGTTGCAGTGAGCTGAGATCATGCCACTCCACTCCAGCCTGGGCAACAGAGTGAGACTCTGTCTCAAAAAAATAAATAAATAAAATTAAAATAAGATCTAGAGTTGTAACCTCCCCACTGAGGATGATCACCTGTCATTATGTATACAAGATGGATTTTGGCTTACAGGAATTGAGAGATATTTGTGGTCTACTTAATGATTTTTTGAGTGAAGTCTGAAACCTGCTTTCAGGAATCCTTACTGAACAGCCTCAGGCAAGATGTGTGAAAGCTGCATTATTCTTTGGTGCTTTAGGTTCTAAAACAAACTATCGACTTTGGTTTAATGGCTGGGACTCCAGAGTTTTATGACCGATTTCTCTCAGAGTAGGCCCGTACTTTCTCTGACTGTCAGTTTCTCTACCTATAAAATTAAAGTTATTAATCTCATAACTGGGTTTTTCCAAGTATTGAGTTAATATTTGTAAAACTTCTGAGAACTCAGACTAAAGGCCTTGAATCAATGCCATGTGTTTTAATTATATTGATCATATTGTGAGAAATTGTAGCTCGAAGAACATTTCCGGTTGGTCCTTGGTTCAGAGCATGGCCTTAAACTTAAATTTACATTAGATCTGATCCAACTGGCTTACTTGAGTACCCAGATTCTTCTATCCAAAATCCTCCTGTTTTCCTTTCTGATCTTTTTAAATCTATCTCAGGAAGTCTTCTCCATCCCCATGCTATCGTTTTTTACCTTCTTTCAAACATCAAAACATTTAGATTAGAAGCACTAAGCCAATTTCTTTAGTTATTGGAAATTAGTGGTATGAACCACCTAATGATCAGAGCCCTCCTCATGAGAGGACTGTAAAAGTAGGAAAGGGCAAAAGATTCATTCAGCTGAATCTTGGTGGTGGAAGCAGCACTGGATTGCCTGAAATAGTCTGTCCTTTTTAGTAGGGCAGAATTGTTTGTCTATGTGTTTGGTTTTGTTTTGCTTTTTTTCCCAACCTGCATGATGACCATCTGAAGAGAATTTCTGAACCAGCCATAACTCTCCACAGCAACAGTGCTCCTAAATGTTGAGAAATTCAAGATTTTCATCTGAGATTCTGGGCTTTAAGAAGACTGTCTTGCTATATCAGAACAGTGTGGTGGTGATTCTCTTGGCAGTAGGTGGAGAAGGATGAGGAGAGGGTCTTACACAAACGTCAGCCACAAGTTCCTAACAGCCTTTCTGTTGGGTTAGGTGCGTTTAGCGGTTGTGAGATATCTTTCTCCTTTTACATCTCCCATTTTTCTGGAAACCTACTGTTTGCCTTGATTTCTCCATTCTCTCTTCCATGCATCAGGATGGCCCTTCAAGTTCATTTGAATTTATGAAGGGTTCTGATACTAGACAGAAGCCGTGAGTATTTTCTTCATTGAGGTATATGGTTAGTAGAAAACTAAAATATTTTAAACCAATCTTGAATAGTCATATCCAGAGAGAGATAATTTAGATTCCACATTAACTTTCCCATCTGATTTTTACTAACTCAAAAGCTGAAATCAGGACTTGGCGATGGAGAATTCTCACTGCCAGCAAGGAAACTTGAACGCCATCTGGAAAGAAAATAAATAATGATGTGTCTGCCTCATCCTGAACTCTGGTGAAAATAGTTAAGATGGAGTTAGCTTTTTAGTTATTCCTTTAACATTCTCTAGTTAGGCACTGTGATAAATCTCCTTTTAATGACTTCCATGCAATAAAGACTCATTTGCGCTTAGCAGAATATGCAATGTGAATTCTAACGTTCCACATTCCTTGTCATTTTGCTTCATGTGGCATGATTATGTATTCCAGGTTACACCTAAACAGACCTGGCAGAAACACTTCTTGAATAGCATGAAAAACAATATTCTGACCCAACGACTCTCTGATGACTTTACTGGAATGAGCTTTCCTGAAGTTGCCCGGTAAGTGAAGTGAAATTCTTCCCTCATTCTTCAGACAACAACATTCTTTCAACAACGTTCACTGAGGGTCCACTATAGGCCAGGCTCCATTACAAACTGAAGATCTAAGAAGGGACAGCCCAGGGTTCCCGCAACTAAGCAGTTCACAGTTGGGGTGGGGCAATTTCATCTCTGTCCCAGTTGGTGCAGTGGCTGTTGGTTACTTTAGGTAGTTTCACTTACAAGGGATCATTCCATAGTGGGAGTTCTTTCCTCTAAGATGTTGGTTTCCTCCTAGGCTGAGAGCACAGAGTGTTAGTTATTTTTTTGTTCACTGACCCCTTGCTCTCCTTATGACTCCTTGTCTTCTTTCCCAGGCTCTGCTTTCTGAAGATGCACCTCCTGTTGATAGCCATCGAATACAAGTCCCTCTTTACAGATGGTTTCTGGTACCAATAAGTCTGCTCATCTCTTCAGTTTTGTTTCTTTCTTTTTTTTTTTTTTTTCTGGAGAATCTTTGTGATTAAGACTTTTTCCAAAGATGCAGCTATAACTAAGCTTTTTCCCTTTGGCGGATTGGCTGAGAGGCAGCCTCTGGGGCTCCCTGGCTCCTCTGCTGTGCTGTCTCTGATGGCACGGGTTAGGGTGGTGACCCTCTTGGATAAACACTTCCCTTTTGTTCCTCAGACCCTACCCCAGTCCTCTCTCAGGAGCAGAGAGGAGAAGAAATGGTCACCTTCTCAGAACTGTTTCTTTTAATATTGCTAGATCTTGACCATGAAATAATACCACAAAATTGAATTATTTGTAATAAAAATGTTCCCACAAGCACTGGCCATGAAAAGTCAAGGACAATGCTGGGCATGGTAGCTCATGACTGTAATGCCAGCATTTTGAGAGTCCGAGGTGGGTGGATCACTTAAGGCCAGGAGTTCGAGAGCATCCTGGCCAACATGGTGAAACCCAGTCTCTGCTAAAAATATAAAAATTAGCAAGGCATGGTGGTGCACCTGGGCCAGTAATCCTGGCTACTTGGAAGGCTGAGGCATGAGAATTGCTTGAACCTTGGAGGCAGAGGTTGCAGTGAGCCGATATCATGCCACTGCACTTCAGCCTAGGTGACAGAGCAAGACTCTATCTCCAAAAAATAATTTTTAAAAAAGTAAAGCACAAAATATGCCAAAATAGGAATCTGACCAGCTGACTGCACAAAGGCTTTTGTTGATAGAGTAGATAAAGGAGATGTTACATCACCAGACATCAGCATTTCCCAAAAACCCATAAGTGAATAAATATGAAAGTAAGAGAAGTTATCACGTAATGCGAAATAAAATTCAGAGCAAATGAAATATACATAAACAAATGGGAGAAAAGGGAGAAAAGAAAGACAAATACATACTATAATATAGAGAAAAAGATCTGTTAAAAAAAAGAAAAAAGAAAAAGGGTGGGGCTTAAATGGGATGAGGGCAAGAAATACTGTGTGTTGGCTCATGTGTACTTTTTGTGAAAAATTAACTTGTGCTAAATAAGAATTAACAGACTAGATTCTGATCCTGACTGATTTGCTGGCCCTGTGGCTGTGGAGAAGGATTCATCATTTGTAGAATGAGGAAATAGAGTTAATGAAACTCTAACAGACCTTGCTGTTCTAAAATTGACATTACCAGAAATTGTAAAATTATAGGAAAACATTCAAAATGAAATAATTTTCAATTATATCAGATGGACTATAAAAGAATTATTATATGTGAAAAGTTTGGAAAGAAGCAAAGACCTATCTGAGTTGAGAGGTTGTAGAAGGTCTCTGGGTAGAAGACATCAGTGGGATATTGTAAAAAGCAAGTCATTAATAAGAGGATAACAAGTAGTATTGTCTGTCTGCCTAAGTTCTGTTTTAAAATCCTGCTGTGCTCAAGAAAATATCACAATCAAAACCTCTGAATGTAAACATCTGCATAAATGGGCCTCCTACTAGAAACAGGTCATAGTAAAATGGGTAGACTCGGAATCATAAGCCAGGTAGTTTGGGTTTCAGACTGGCCCAAAATTTTATCAAGTTTCAGTAACAACTTTGGCTTTCAACCACCTGGCTTATATGTCAGAATTACTTGCATAAGTGTTTTTGTTTTTGTTTTTGAGATGGAGTTTCACTCTTGTCGCCCAGGCTGGAGTGCAATGGCACAATTTCAGCTCACTGCAACCTCCACCTCCCAGGTTCAAGCGATTCTCCTGCCTCAGCCTCCTGAGTAGCTGAGATTACAGGCATGTGCACCACGCCTGGTTAATTTTTGTATTTTTAGTAGAGACGGGGTTTCACCATGTTGGTCAGGCTGGTCTCAAACTCCTGACCTCAGGTGATTCACCCACCTCAGCCTCCCAAAGTGCTGGGATTACAGGTGTGAGCTACTGTGCTTGGCCTGTTTGCATAAGTTTTAAAGACTTATAGATTCCAAAACCCTACTTTTGACTGCAAAACCAAGGGTGAGCCTGAGAATTCTTTCTCAAGTCTCCATGATATATTTGGTTTATTCACTGGAATCTGGAAACTACAACCACATGCCCTTAAGATCCTTTTCACCTCTTAACATTCTAGATTTCTGTAAACTTCATTAAGATGATGGTTAGGACATTACAGACCAGAAACGTGAATATTTATTTAGCAACTAATCTCACGTAGATTTAAGAGGTCCTGTTTGCTACCTAACACACATATACCCCAATGAAAAGGGGATTTACGGAAACAGAGATTTAACTTTACCTTCTCACTTGGAAGTCTGGTGAATCAAAGGGATTAAGTTCTTATTTGGCAAATGTATTGATAAGAACATTCCCTTACATGATTGATACTTTGTGACCAACACTGCTATAGACCTGTTACATATGTTAACTCTTGAATAATCCTCACAACAGTGCTGTGAGATGGGTACTATCATTATTAGTCTCATTTTACAGAGGAGGAAGCTGAACCCCAGAAAGCTAAATGATTTTCCCAACCTCACACAACACCCAAGTGGCAGAGCCAGGATCTGAACTCAGGTCCTCTGGCTCCAGGGCTGTACTTCTATAACCATCCTGTAGTAAATTCACTGTTGCCATTATTGGTAGAAGGAACACAGAACGTTTAAATAGTTGGACTTTAAACAAATATATTGAAATTCTGAGGAGAAAACCTATCTTTTCTCACCTTTTAATTCCTCTTCTAATTGGCAAGTTTGAAGAGATTGTAAGACTTGCAAAAGGCTTCGAGAATTATAAGAATTTTTCTTAGGGAATTATATGTCACCTGCTAACAGATGAAGCTGGATCTGACCCCAGTCACATACTGTAATGATTTTGTTTCAGAAACAAACATTCTCTGATAGAGCAACTGGCCAAATCATAAAGAGGGAATCAACTAAAAACACATTAGGAAAGTGTTTAAGAGAGGCTCACCTCTTTTCTCAAATACAGTCAAATATATGTTTTATTGTGACAGCATCTTCGTAGCTAGATATTTAATATGAGTTCAGAGAAACCTCTCTCCTTAAAAAAAAAAAGAAAAATAGGAGCGGCCGGGCACAGTTGCTCACGCCTGTAATCTCAACACTTTGGGAGGCCGAGGCAGGTGGATCACCTGAGATTAGGGGTTTGAGATCAGCCCGTCCAACATAGTGAAACTCTGTCTCTACTAAAAATACGAAAAATCAGCCGCGTGTGGTGGCATGCACCGTAATTCCAGCTACTCAGGAGGTTGAGGCAGGAGAATCACATGAACCCGGAAGGCAGAGGTTGCAGTGAGCCGAGATCGTGCCATTGTACTCCAGCCTGGGCAACAAGAGTGAAACTCCGTCTCAAAAAAAAAAACAAAAAAAAAAAAACCAAGGCTGTGTAAGACACAACTAAGCATGCATCTGCTACTTACTGAGCATCAGCCAATAATATTTAAGGGGCCACAGTTGTATTTTCTTTTCCTTCCAAAGTTAAGACCAATTATTTCACTCATTAATATAAGTCAGTAAATACTCAGAAAAGGCCATCCATTGTCTTAGGTAGTAATCTACCTGAACACAGCTATACAGCCTGGGTCTGTTCTTGGCATGAGACTGAAGAACTTTGGCTGTGCAAGCTCATTTACTTTTGTGAAAGGTGTGAGTATCCCAACAACAGAATAAGCTTTGCCAGAATTAAAACTTCACCTCATTCCAATGTGAATACAAGAGGAGGGATGATTTTTAAAGGAGGAAAGAAGAACTTCCATTCTGCAAAAAGTGAGAGGAATTATAGGGTTGTAAGACCTCACCATAGACATCTGAAATGAAGGAAATAAAGGTAGGAGATCCTGATGAACAGGGAGAAATGTGGGTAATTTGAAAAGCATAGCAGAATACTGCATCAAAGAGTATCATGGACAGAAAATTATAATACAATATTTTCAAACACATAAACCACAAGAAAATAGAAAATCAAAAGGTTCAAGTAAGATAATAATAGAAATAGTTCACATGGTTCCTGCTCTCAGAAATCTGGCAATCAAAATAAACAAAACTGAAGTCAAAAGAAATGCATAACCTCAAAAGATGCATACTTGAATACAAGAAACTTTTGAATCCAGCTGGTTAGTTAAACATTAATTTTAAATGGCAAGTGGCCTAAAGATGAGCACTACTAGTATGATGCTAAGCCTGGAAACTGTGTGGTCTCAGCATATTTGTCATTTGATAGGTTAAATCAAAAAGATATCATGCACCTGAGTGGTCGGACCATCTCAGATGCGTGACAGAATCCGGGAGAGGCTTCCCCGCAGGTCCACTGTGTGTTCAGCTCACTGATCAAGTTGTTCCCTGGCTCCCCTCTGCATAGTCAGCCCCAATCGAACAAAGAATCACAGATGTCAAATTCACACTCTGCACTGTGTTTGGCAGTAAGAGGAGGTTGAATACGATTAACTTAGCAACTTAGAGAATCCATTGATCATAACAGAAAGAGGCACCAACTATTGCCACTGAAATCAGAGGGAAACATTACTGTGTGTTTATTTTTCGTTTCCAGTGGTCTGATACTAAATCCACCTGCACAAGTTAGGATACATAAGAACACACTAGGGTTCTTTATTGCTGAAACTCCAAAGGAAGTCAAAAGGTAATTTTTTTATTACTTTATGGGGGAAAAGCACTAAAGCAACTACAGCTTAGTGGGAGGCCCACTGAGTCAGCACCATACCTCCTTTGTGTTAAGACTCACATAAGTCATTCTTGGTTTTCTTTCATTGTCCAGAGCCTTGTTTTACTGTTCGGTCTGTCACGATGATGTGTTTATTCCTGAGCTAATTACAAACTGTGGCTGCAAAAGCAGAAGCCGGCAGCACGTCACAGGTAATTGCACTTTATTTCTGGCCGTCCTTAGCCCAGCCTCTAGGGAGCTGCCTGAGGAAAGAGAAGAGGGTTCCATCTCTTAAAAGGCAATGTCCATTTGAACTTGGCCAGGAAGTGGCAGACATTTCCTCACTGGCCACATGAGAGGTGAGAATCAGTGTTTTAGAGCTGGAAGAAACCTAACTAGTTATCTAATTCAATTCCTTTAAAGGCAGGCAAATGTGTTTTAAGAGATCCAGTCACTTTATTCCAAAGTCACATAGCCAGTTAGTGGCATCACCAAACTCAATCCCAGGCATGCTGACTTTCAGCCCATTGCTTTTTCATGATTTCACAGTTTTTCACAACTTCAGACTGAAAATTCAGCCTATATCTGACCACTTGGTTGGCCATGAGGATGCTACTTCATGACCATACCTTGAGTACTCTGTTTCCTTAATGGATAGTAAGAAGTTTAAAGTTTACTCATCCTGACATGGTGCCGAGGGAATGTAGTTTTCTCTATTTTCTCTAACTGAACTCAGCAGTTTACCAACACCCTTTTCCATTTAATGGCAGAAATGGAAAAATTAATCTCAAGCATTCATAATCACTTAGTCCCTTCTGGTTTAAAATTTAGTCTCGGGCGGGCACGGCGACTCATGCCTGTAAACCCAGCACTTTGGGAGGCCAAGGGGGATGGATCACAAGGTCAGGAATTCAAGACCAGCCTGGCCAAGATGGTGAAACCCCGTCTCTACTAAAAATACAAACATTAGCTGGGTGTGACAGTGTGCACTTGTAATCCCAGCTACTTGGGAGTCTGAGGCAGAGAATTGCTTGAGCACGGGAGGCGGAGGTTGCATTGAGCCAAGATCATACCACTGCACTCCAGCCTGGGTGGCAGAGCGAAAAAAAAAAACTTAGCTTCGTCCAGGTACATTCAGACTCTTTGTGTAAAACCCCAGTGTTTCAGAATTTAAACTTAGTCCATTCAAAATATGAATTTTCTATCAGGACTATTTTCATCCCTAAGGTTCTTATTCTCTCCTTCTTCTCAGAAAGCTATTTAAATGCGAGAGTAAGCTGGCTTAGCATCATGAGTGTTCTTGCAGTGAACCGCAAGGCTTCACTGATTCCTCCTGAGGTTCCTCATTAACTTTGGTCTGTAGTTGTCACCTTCTGTCACCTCTGAGTCAACAACCAATGAATCTGCTCCTCCCAGCTTTGGGTCAGGCTCTATCACTTGTTACTGAAATCCATTCTCCTAGTCTTGAAGTCTGCAAAAACTCTTTTCAGTAATCTTTGTCTTTTCATTCCTTTTTAAATTTTTTTCCTGTTACTTTTAGTTCACATGTAATACTTGCATATATTTTTGAAATACAGAGTGATATTTTGATATAGATATACAATGTATAATGATCAAATCAGGGTAATTAGCATGTCCATCCATCACCTCAAACTTTTGTCATTTTCGTATTGTGAACATTCAGATTCCTCCCTGTTAGTCTTTTGAAAATACACAATAAATTGTAGTTAATTGTGAAGGACACTAGAAATTATTGCTCCTGTCCAGCTGTAACATTGCCTTCTTTAACCAATCTCTCCCCATCTTCCCTTCCCTCTTCCCTTCTCATCCTTTAATAATCACAAGTCGAGTCTCTACTTCCATGAGCTCAATTGTTTTTAGCTCCCATGTATGGGTGAACATGTGGTGAACCTAATGTCCTCCAGTCTCATTCATGTTGCTGCTAATAACAGGATTTCATCTTTTTTAATGACTGCATAGTATTTCATTGTTCATATGTATCACATTTTCTTTATGTATTTATCTTTTGGTGTACATTTAGGTTGCTTCCATAACTTAGCTATTGTGTATAGTCCTACAATAAACATGGAAGTGCAGATACTTTTTTGATACACTGATTTTTTTTTATAGATACACAGTGGTAGAATTGCTGGATCATATGGTAGTTCTACTTTTAGTTTTTTTTTTATGAATTCCCATACAGTTTTCCATAGCAGCTATACTAATTCACGTTTCTACCAACAGCGTATGAGTTTCCTGTTCTCCACATCCTTGTCAGCATCTATTGTTTTGTTTTATTTTTTGTCTTTTTCATAATAGTCATTGTGACTGGAGTAAAATGATAACTCATTGTAGTTTTGATTTGCATTTCTCTGATAATTAATGATGTTAAACATACTTATATACCATTTGTATGTCTTTTGCAAAATGTTTATTCAGATCTTTTTCCTATTTTAATCAGATTTTTTTTTTTTGCCATCGAGTTCCTTGTATATTCTGGATATTAGTCTCATGTCAGATGAATGGTTTGCAAATATTTTCTCCCATTCTACAGGTGTCTCTTCTGTCTGTTGATTGTTTTCTTGGCTGTGCAGGTTTTGGTTTAATATAGCACCATTTGTTTATTTTTGGTTTTGTTCCCTGTGCTTTTGAAGTCTTAGCAATAAAAATATTTGCCTAGTTTAAAATCTTGAACCATTCTTTTCTTCTAGCGGTTTTGTAGTTTTGGGTATTCCATTTAAGTATTTAATCCATTTCGAGTTAATTTTTGTATGGGGTGAAAGAAAGGGGCCCAGTTTCATTCTTCTGCGTATGGATACCCAGTTTCCCCAGCACCGTTACTGAAGATAATCCATTCTGCTTGGTGTGTTTGTGGCACCTTCATTGGCCTAATGTCATTTTAGTCTCTCTGCTGTTTGGGATTTTTAACTCTCCTCCTGTATATGCATTTGTATGTCAGGATGTGGGAACCTCAGTGGGTTTCTCTCCACATTTCTCCCTGCTTGCAGACACTATCATGTTTCTTCTTCTGTGATCCTCTTGCGTTGTTGCTAGACACTGTTTCAGGAGCACCCCACCGAGAATCCATATGAAAAGGGAAGCATCTCTCTCATTTTTCTGCTTGCACATCACACAAATATCATATTTTCCTGGCCTAGTCACCCCTTATCAACCTGAAGCACTGTGGGGAGGGGGTGGAGAACTGGGTTCTTTCTCAGAGATCAGGCTCTGTCCTATCTTTATAACATCTTTATTCAGATATATCTCAAATACCATGAAATAAATATATATCCATTTACAGTGTACAATTCAATGAGTTTCCTTATACAAATAGAGTTGTGTCGTCATCACTACAATCAATTTTAGAACATTTTCCTCACCTCAAAAAGAAACCCCATACCCAATAGAAGTCACTCCTCCTTCTGAACCCACAGCCCTGGAAAAAAAACACTAGTCTATTTTCTGTCACTGTAGATTTTCCTATTCTGGTCTATTCACACACACACACACACACACACACACACACACACAAAGATCCTATAGTTTGTGGCTTGTTGTGTCTGGCTCCTTTTATTCAGCCATGCTGTAGCATGTATCAGTACCTCATTTCAGCTGGGCACAGTGGCTCATGTCTTTAATCCCAGCACTTTGGGAAGCCAAGGTGGGCCGATCACTTGAAGTCAGGAGTTTAAGACCAGCCTGGCCAGCACGTTGAAACCCCGTCTGTACTAAAAATGCAAAAATTAGCTGGGTGTGGTGGTGCATGCCTGTAATCCCAGCTACTTAGGAGGTTGAGGCAGGAGAATCTCTTAAACCCAGGAGGTGCAGGTTGCAGTGAGCCAAGATCGTGCCACTGCACTCCAGCCTGGGTGACAGAGCAAGACTCTGTCTCAAAAAAAAAAAAATTCTGTTGTGTTTTTATTGATGAATAATATTCTGTTGTATAGATCTATACCTCATTTTGTTATACATTTATCTACATTTTTCTATTGATGGACATTTGGGTGGTTTCCGCCCTTTCCATATTGTATATAATGCTGCTGTGCACATTGGGGCAAAAATATCTGTTCAAATTCCTGCTTTCCATTTTTTTAATGTATACACCTAGAAGTAGAATTACTAAATCAAATGCAAATTCTATTTTTCATTATTTGCAGAATCACCACACTGTTGTCCACAGCAGTTACACCATTTTATATTCCCACCAGAAATGTAGAAAGGTTCCAATTTTTCTACATTCTCATCTACACTTATTTTTCATTTTAGAAAATAGTGGTCATCCTAATGGTTGTAAAGTGGTATCTCATTATGGTTTTGATCTAAATTTTCCTAAATGGCATTTTTTCATGAGGATCTCATTGACCATTTACATATCTTCTTTATAGAAATAACTACTTAGATCCTATTTTTAAATTTGATTATTGTCTTTCTACTATTGAGTTGTATAAGATCTTTATATATTCTGAATATATAGGCCCTTATCAGATGTATGATTGGCAAATATTTTCCCCCATTCTGTGGTTTTGCTTTTCATTTTTGTTACATACTTTGAATCACAAAATTGTTTAGTTTTGATGATGTTCAATGATGTATTTTTTATTTTGTCACTTGTGCTTTTGTGCAATATCCAGGAAGTTTTTGACCAACCTAAGGTCAGCAATATTTACTCCAAAACTTTCTTCTAAAAATTCTGTACTTTTGGCTCTTACATTTAGATCTGTGATTTTTTTTTCCTTTGAGACAAGGATTCACTCCATCACCCAGACTGGAGTGCAGTAGTACAGTCATGGCTGACTGCAGCCTCGACCTCCTGGGTTCAGGAGATCCTCCTGCCTCAGCCTCCAAAGTAACTGGGACCACAGGTGCACACAACCATGCCCAGCCCTGCATTTTTTGTAGAGATGTGGTTTTATCATATTTCTCAGGCTGGTCTGGAGCTCTTAGGCTTAAGTGAGCCACCTGCCTCAGTCTCCAAAAGTGCTGGGATTTCAGGCACGAGCCAATGTGCACAGCCTCTATGATCTGTTCTGAGTGGTCTTCGTTTATGGAATAAGAAAAGGATCCAACTTTACTCTTTTCATTGTGGCTATCCAGTTGTCCCAAAATTCATTTATTCAAACACTATTCTTGTCAAAAAACAATTGACTTTAAATATCTGAGTTTATTTCTGGGTCTCAATTGTATTCTATTAATCCATATGTGTAACCTTGTG